ATCAGGATAACACAAGATTTAGCAGCTTCTACATTAAGGGACTGGAAGGCTTAGAACATAATATTCCCAAGGTCAAAGGAGATAGGATTACAATCAAAAATCACCTACCCAGCAAAACTGAGTATAATCATTCAGAAAAAAAAAAAAGGATATTCAGTGAAATAGAGGACTTTCAAGTATTCTTGATGAAAAAACCAGAGCTGAATAGAAGATTTGACTTTCAAAGACAAGACTCAAGAGAAGCATGAAAAGGTAAACAGGAAAGAGAAATCATAAGGGACTTATTAAAGTTGAACTTTTTACAATCCTTCATGGAAAGATGACATTTGTAAGTCATGATGCCTTTGTCAGTATTAGGGTAGTTGGATGGGAAGTATATATATATATATATAATATATAGTATATGTATATATATATATATATGTATATGTATATGTATATGTATATATATATATATATACACACACACACATATATACATATGTATACATATGTATATGTATGTGTATGTGTATATGTATGTGTATATGTGTGTGTATATATGTACAGGTATAGGTATATATGTATACATATATGTATATGCATATATGTATACATATGTATATGTATAGATAGATACATACATACATGGAGGGCACAGGATGAGTTGGAAATGAAGGGGTGACACTTAAAAATAAAATAAGGCATGAGAGAGGATTATACTGGGAGAAGGAGAAAGCGAGAGGTAGAATGTGGTAATTAATCTCATATAAAATGGAGAAGAAAAAGCTTTTACAGTGGAAGGGAAGTGGGGGAAGGTGAGAAGGAATGAGTGAATCTTATTCTCATCAGATTTGGCTTAAGGACGGAATATCATACACACTCAATTGGGTATGGAAATCTATCTTACCATTATAGGGAAATAGGGAGGAATGGGATAAGAGAAAGGGGCGGGGTAATAGAAGGGAGGGCAGATTAGCAGAAGGGGTATTCAGAATGCACACCATCTTGCAGGGGGAGGAGGGCCAAAATGAGGAAAAAATTGGGCACTCAAAATCTTGTGGAAGTGAATGTTGAAAACTAAAAATAAATAAATTAAAAGTACAGACTGCTAAAATAATGAAGTACAGCACTCTGGTATAATTCCTAAGCCCTATCACCAAAAAGTCTCAAAGTGAGACTGACCATGAAAGTCCTGAAGCAGGGACCGGTGAAGGCTAGAGCGCTATGGTGTCTCACCAATTCTTCCCTGCCCCTAATATAACCAATAAGGAGAAATTCTCATATTAATGGGCTTTGGGATGGGGATTACACTGAATAATATGCGTCCTACTGATTGTTTTGACATGATTTTTCATGACTTTCCTTCATACATTACGTATTCCAAACAAACTGGCCATTTTTAGTCATTTCATCTTCATTCTCCAATGCTTTTGCTCATATCTAGAATTCTACCTCTACTTTTTTTTATAATCCCTAGCACCTTTCAATACTCAGTTGAGGTGCCACTTCTCCCTATACAAAGTTTGTATACACATACACACAGATATATCTTTATATCTATATACTTCTATCTATCTACATTTTTAGATAATGCCCCCTCAAGTAATTACTCCTCATTTATTGTGATGATGTTTTATGCGAACTTATTGGGGTTTATACTATATTCCCTCAGTAAATTACATGGCATCTGAGGGCAGGTCATGTTTCCTTTGTGTCTTTGTATACCCTGCTCCTAGAACACAGCCTATCATGTAGTAAGCTAAAATTATTTTCCTATTGATCCGTTGTTTCTTTTTCTAATATTTACTTTTGGACTCATCATACTCCTCATCTGAATTGTATATTTAAGATTTATTTAACATGGCTAACCATGTCATATCTTTGCTCAAAATCCTTCAATGACTCTCTAGTGCAGTGAGGATAAAAGACAAACTCCTTATCTTGGCATTTAAGGCCCTCCACAATCTCACTCCCATCTATCTTTTAAGCCCAATTTCATATTACTCTCCTTCAATAACTTTATAGGGCAGGCGAATTGGCCTACATGCTATTCCCCAAATTCGGTTTTCCCTCCTCCGATTCAATGTCTTTCTTTTCTATGCTTAGAATGTCACCTTTCATCATCTATTTTTCCTTGAATCGTTAGTTTCCCTCAAGAGATCAGGTAAAGATTTCAACATGAAGCCTTCTCTGATTTCCCATGATGCTTTTTGTATATATCTCCACCTCCCCCCAGCAGAATGTAAGCTTCTTTGGGGAGGAACTGCTTTGTCTGACCTTTGTAATCTCAGTGCCTTCCGCATAATAGGCATTTTATTAAGGTCTGTCAAATTGAAGAGAATTGTGGGAAGAAGTATTCATGTTGATAACATTATGGCTCTATTTAAGATTGTAGATTATAGAGATGAATAGTAGGGAATAATATGGCAGCTAATCTACAGTATAGTATTTCAGAATCACATAGCATCATGAGATTTGTAGCTGCAAGAGACACCAGTAAGCAAGTATAACAGGTAGGTGGTTTAGTCATTAGAATATTAGACTTCGAGTCAGTAAGTCCTGAGTTCAAACTCTGACTCAGGCACTTTCTGGCTTTGTGATGCTGGCCAAGAAAGTTAAGCTTGGTCAACCTGCTTTCTCATCTGTGAAATGGGAGCCTTGAGAGTATCTACCTCTAAGAGTTGTTGTGAGGACAAGATGAGATAATATGTATGGTGCTTTGTACCTTAACCCTTAAAGCACTATCAGGGGTGTGGAACCTGTGAACTTGAGGCCACATATAGCCCTCTAGGTCCTCGAGTGAGACCCTTTGACTTCACAGAAAGTTTGGATTCAGCCAAAGGGACACACTTGAGGACCTAGAGGAGCACAAGTGGCCTAGAGGCCACAGATTTCCCACCCTTAATAAATGCTGCCTATTGATCAACCTCTTTACTTTGCAGATTAGGTAATTGAAACCCACAATGTTGACTTGACTTGCCAGAAGCAGAACTGGGGTACCTTTGAAGGGAAGGGTACAAACATTCATTATATGTTTACTGTGTGTAACGTCCTGTGTTAAGAGCTTTACAAATATCTTGCTAGATCTTCAAAACAATCCTGTGAGGCAGATGCTATTATTATCCTTATTTTGACAGTTGAAGAAGCAGAGACAAGCATAGATTAAATGACTTGTCCAGAGTTACAAGGCTAGTAAGTGTCTGAGACCAAATTAGAACTCGGTTCTTCTTACCTGTAGGCCTTCTGCTCGATTCTCTGTGCTACCTAGCTTCCCCATGTTCCAGAAACTCCATGTCTAGTGCTCTCTCTACTAAATTGGGTGCTTCTCCTATACCCATCATAAAAGAAAGGTGTATATGTACTTCTCCATCCAACACACTACTGGTTTTCAACTAACCTAGGAAGGAATGCCATATTCATATAAGATCAAGGGCAAAGATTAGTCATTTGCAACTGTATTTCTTTAAAAAAATATGGAATAAGCCTTCCTCCATTTGTTTTAAATTTCATATCACATACATATAACGTTCAATTTCATTTATTTCCCATTTGCTTCATTTCTATGAGTTCCCTGGGCTTTAGATGATGTCTGCCCCAGCAGGCTCTCAGTTTAAATATGCATATATATGTTTTCTCCTTTTGCAACTTCCTCATTTTCTTCCTTTGCCCTTTCAATTGCAAGATACCACAGCAATACAAGCAGAGAGCAATGAACAGCTTCTGTTTGCTACTAATCTTTTCTCTCTGTTTATTTAGAATTAAATAACAGTCTTGTAGACAACTTCTTCGCTTACAATATTAAAGGAATATAACTTGTCTGGATAACACTATACTTGGACCTACATACTAAAACCAATTGCAACTCTGCTAGGTAACTATAACCAATCTCTTACTCTTTGGATAATCATAGCATTCCCTATACCACAGTAACCTCTGAACTGTTGATTTAAAGATCTAAAGCGTCACTATGGTAATAATTACCCAACTGTATGTTAACTTACACACAGCCATTTATGCTAAACCACTGAGAACTTTATATAATTCTCTCATCTGGCTTAAATGACTACTCGTTGAAGGTGGTAGTGCAAGTATTAATATTACCGTGTTTCAGATAAGAAAAATGACAATCAGACAGTTGAATGACTTGGCCAAGGTCCCAGTATTATATTATTAGCACTGATTATATCCCTGCAGTGTAATGGAGGATCATCATCATCATAGAAACAACAACAACAACAATGAGTATTTGTATAGTGCTTTAAGGTTTGCAAAGTGCTTTAAAATACCTCATTTGATCTTCATGACAGTCTTGGGATGTATGTGTTACTTAAGATACATATAAAAGCTGGGGAAACTGAGGCTAGAAGAAGTTAGATGACATGGCCAGGGTCACACAGCTAGTAAGTATCTGAGGTCAAATTTGAACTCAGAACTTCTGGATGCCAGGACTAGCACACTATCCACTGAGCCATCTAGCTGCCTCATATAAGAACATTTAAGAAATGTCATTGCCTTCAATAACACTGCATTTCAAATTCTCTGCTCCATAGGAAAGGAAGCAGGTTAGTTAGATGGTAACATAATACCACCATGGAAATCAGAAATGGCTTCTCCAGCTCCTTTATGGACACAAATAAGCCAGTCTTCTTATATGATTTTTCCTATCCTTGATACCTTTTAGATAATGATTGTAAACCGACAGCTTGTATGAACTGAAAAAAAAGACAGTAATGCCTCCTTCTTTTGAAGTTACTTAGCTAGTTAGATCCTGAAAGCAAAGTTATAGAACCAATACTCAGACTCTTCAAGTGTAGGATTTTGTGGCGAGGCAATAGGTATGACACATTAAAGGCAAACATTCTTTTTCTAATTTTTCTTATTTCTCATATCTGAGTATTTATTCAGTATCTAGAATATTTAGTTCCCCATGACACATACACCTGTAATTAATCAACTGATCTCACCCACTGGGCTCAGGCAGATCTGAAGACATGAGTCAAGTCCAAGATGCATCTTACCTCTGCAGCAGGGACACCCTCTGGTGGGCGACAATGCAGGACAATCATCCCTTCAATAGGCACCTCCCTTCCCTGGGGATCTTGCTCGAAATTTTTCCGTAAATCTGCAAAGAGTCCAGCAAACTGGTCAGATATCTCAGAAGTCAACCTTGTATACATTTGCTCAAAATACAATAAAACAAAATACAGAATTGCTTCAAATATTATGAGTTAGTTTTTAATCCCTGCCTCCCTCTTTCCAGCTCCTTCAACTTTTCATGAGAATTAAAAAAAAAAAAGCCACTGGCAAAGAAAAACTAAGATTTCATTGGTCCATAAGTTTATGCTAGTATTATCTATAAAACATATAACATAACACTTGTCGTAATGAATCCATGGGAAATACGCAACTACAACAAGTTTTTAGAAAAAAATTAATATATTTTATTATTATTATTAGCTAAAGAATACATTATTAATCTGTAATTTATGCTGTTCTCTCAGGCCTCTAGAGGCTTTAGAAAATGGTAATAGAGTGAGATTACCTATTAGCCTTTTATTTGTAACCAGGGAGAAGGGGAGGCATTCAATGACAAAAACAACAACAAAAATCTATAACCTATCCAACCAAACATACAATTAAAAAATACAGTGCCATCCAGTCCAAAAGAAATGCTCTGCACTGGTGTGGTGCCGGTCACTTGGGGCTCAAGGCACTTTACAAACAAGTTGCGCCATTAGCCTTTGACGCATGGAGGACTGGAGCATGGTGAGGTTAATTGGCTTGCCGCTGGTCTCAGAGAGTGTCAGTGCCAGCTCTGGGAACAAAACCTGAGATTCTTGATTTCCAATCTCTGATTGCTAACCAGCAGAGTCCTCCTGTTTTGGCAAAGAGTACACACACATACACACTCTTTTTCTTCAGAAGCCTTGTTGGCGTGGCTACCACGTCATCATGTACTATATTATTTTGAAAGGGGTTTTGGCCTTTTCTTCTATTGAGAGACCAGAAGAACATTTTGCTAATTTCATAGCACATTTACAATTCTAGCTGTCACCAAACTATATGGAATACTGAAGTCCAGGAAGATTATTTACATTGCTTTCCCAAGTAAAATATGTTACTTTTTTTCTCCCTACTTTCTCTCTAATGATGCATTTTTTTGCTTGAACTGAGTATTTCAAATTAAAAACTGTGGATTTATTAATTTGTTTCTTCGTTGTTTAATAACATGACAGAAGATCCCTGGAAAGGAGCAGAGACCTTACACGTTACTTTAAAAAAAATAAATTTTATAGATTCATTAAACTCGATTTTAGCAAATCAAAAATTCAGAGGGGGATTTTTTTTTTCAGTACAGCAATCTATGTGTTCTCCTTCAGATTTTTTCTTCTTCTTCATGTTTCTTTCTCACACGGGTAAGCAATGTCCTTTTTTAGAGCAATATTTATGAAGTTATTCATTAGTTCATGTGATATAAAAGATCACCAAAAGACTGATATTACTAGCACACAGGTGATGAGATCCATCTTCTCATTTTCTCCCTTTTCTTTTGAATTCCAAAGAACAGCATTCTGCTATTCAGGGATCTATAAATTGCCACAGTCCTTTAAACTTATGATTCAGTTACCAGCTTGCAGTGCAGCAGAAGGCCACACAGAGACTGATGTAATAATAGGGACTGTGAGTGAGCACTTGTACGAAATACTCAGCTTTTTCTGCACACATCAGATGTGGAAATTCTCACCTGCTATTCCCCTGGGGGTATCTTACTGAAGTAAAAAAGCCATGCTCTAGATTACACTAATGGGTTATTCATCAGAAAGGGACAAACAAGGATCTACTGGAAAGTGATAGTTGCTCTTATCCATGAGGTGGTAGAGAGTCTGCTAATGGAAAGTTATTTATTTGAACTGACTGTTCCATCTCCCAAGGGAAATCTCATTCAACACTATTAACATGGTCACTCTGGATAATATTGAAGTACTTTTGGCCCAACACAGGAAACCAATGGTTAGAATCACCATTCCCATACGTTCAGCCTGGAGTAAGGCAACGGAGCCCAGTCGTAATGCTAGATTATTTCAAAACTTGATGTCTTACTTGGACTCCCCATACCATAGCAAACTAAATAGGAAGCCATGGAAGAAAAAAAAAAGATTTCATCTGAATTATCATATGCTAACTTCCAAACTTACCATGTCTTATACAAAATTAAATAAAAAGGGCCTGTCAAAAACTTCAGGGAGTCCTACAACTATCTATTGTGTTCCTAGACATAGTAAAAGTTATCATGAATGCATTCTCATTAACCTCATTTATATAACACTCAATTTTATAAAACATTAAAAAAACCATTTCTTTTTTTTGGAGGGAGAGGAAATAGGTACCAGACTTATGATTCTAATAGCGTAGGAAACTTAGCATCATAAATTGGAAGAGCCACTCTTCTGAAACTTACAATCTTAGAAAGATGCCTGAGGGCATTTGGGAAGATAAGTGACTTATCCTTGGCCTCCAGACTCTAAGGTTTGTCCTCCATTCCTTATACTAACTCTTTCAAATAATATCCAAGATAATTGGAAAGTGGAACAACGACCCCTTAATGCCCACCTCCATAAGGGATTGAGAAGAGCTGCTTTTTTTGTTTAGAATGTCAAAACCTCTCTTTTTGTCTCTTTCTCACTCCTGTTACACCCACATCTGATTTCCTTGAGTAGCTCTTCATAGTGAGGAAAAGATGGAATAAAATGGACCCCCTACAGCTGAGGACATGGTAAAGCAAGGGACTTCAATAAAATATAAATCACATAATCAATACTTGGAGAAATCAGTAGTGGCTAATAAGTAGAAACTTTGAGGCCATGTCAGGTCAGAACATGGGGCAGCAGACTCCTCTTTCTAAAGCTGTTTGGCCTAGTTCATTTTCCTTTCATGGTACTATGTTAGAAAAATCATTGTAGCACAAAAAAAATCAATAAAAATTCAATTCAGAATAATAGTCCTTTGCTGCTCAGCAACACCAGGGAGTTATCAGCTCATTCAATGCTATGGGAGTTAATGCAATGATATAAAAATAATTTACTCATTCAAACCAAATCAGCCAATGAAAAATTATAGTCATTTTTTATAGTCAAAGTTAGAGTCATTTGTTAAGACTGCAGGGAGATGACACAAGTTCCTATGAGTTGTTGAAGCACATTGGCATTGAAATCATCAGTTGAATTTGTCCATCTCATTTTTGCCTCACAGACCAACAAAATTACATTTCCCTTAATGAAAAGAGATTTGAAGATTAGCTAAATTAGATCATGTTAAAGTAATATGTAGAAGTCTTCAAAATACAGAGGAAATTATTTCAATAAAATTGGTGTTAGTATTTACAAGTTGTAATGAATTGCCGAGTGGAAGCTAGCTGGCACTATAGATAGAGTTCCATGCCTGGAGTTGGGAAGATGCATAACTTCATGTGTTCAAATCTGGCCTTAGAAATTTACTAGCTATGTGACCCTAGGCAAGTCACTTAACCTTTTTTGGCCTCAGTTTCCCTATCTGTCAAATGAGCTGAAGAAGGAAATGGCAAATCCCTCCAGTATCTTTGCTGAGAAAACCCAAATGGGGTCATGAAGATTTGGACACAACTGAAATGAGTGAACAACAATGAATTGCTAAGCTACAATAACCATGTTGAGACAACAGGGTGACATAGAAAATGCTGGATTTGGGATTACATGGCCTAGGTTCAGTTTTCAGCTCTGTTCCTATGTGTGTGACCTTGGGCACAACCTCTTGGCTCTTTTCTTCATTTGTACAATGAAGGAGTTAGATTATATGATGTGTTTGCAGCAATACCTAAGGCCATAGCCCACGTACACTAAGCTAGCTGTTCCTTAAAAGATGCTGAAAAATCCTTGACTCATCACTGGCCCAAGGCTTGAATCACTGACATAGTTTTCTGGTATCCTTAGTAAAAAACAGAAAAGAAAACTAAAAACAAAACCTGACACAGAGGCAAGGAAGCTGCACTCCAACAATGATGTATCCCTGCCAAATAATGTTTCCAGTGCAATGGCTAAATGAACTTCTTTTTGTTTCTCATTATAAGTGGTCTCCAGTTATCTCATTCTGTTCCCATCTTCAACATCATGGCCCAAGTCAGATTTGGCCTACAAAAAATGAATTCAAAATTCCCTTCTGGTTCTAAATGTATAATCTTCAGCCTCTATAACTGGCCTTATCAATGCTCTAAAAAGGTGCCAAGGAAGGGACTCAAAATTTCTCTCCATATGAGCATTGATTGAAGAAATGGAGGACATTCAGCATTAAGCAAAGATTCATAATAAAAATTGAGAAAAGTTAGGTGGCAGATTGAATAGAGTGTTAGATTTTGAGTAAAGAATACCTGCATTTGAATCCCACCTCAGATACTTAGCACCTATCAGTCTCAGTTATTTTTTTATTTGTAAAATTGGAAAATAATAGCTACCTTGCCAAGTTGTGAGAATCAAATGATATTGTACACACATACACATATGCATATATGTGTATATATACATATACACACATATGAGTTCGTATATATGTATACCACAATACACATATACATATATATGTATGTATACCACTTTGCAAACCTTAAAGTGCTATACAAATGTTGGCTATTATTTTTATTAAAATATCTTCATCTTCAAATATCTGAAGGGTTTTAATATGGAAATTAGATTAGCCTTATTTCATGAGATTTTGAAAAGAAGACCTTTGGTCAAATGATTAATGCATCAAAATTATAGGGTAGGTAGAGTTTTTCTTCATACGAGGAAGGACATTTGTGAGATTTTAAGCTGACTAAAAATGGAAAGGGATGTTTTCATGGAACTGGAAGTGTTTAAATAAAGACTAGATGATCGACTCACCTCCCTCTCAAGAATTTTTCAAGAGGCATTGGACTATTGGGCAAAGGGTTATTATAGATTACGCTCACAGTTCTTTTCATTTTAGTTTTCATTTCTAATTGTTAATTTAGTGTAATACACACACATATATACACACTTGTGTATGTATATGTGTTTGCATGTATGTATTGGATTTCTTCACTAAGTCCTGCTCTTATGTCTCTCTGGTGCA